CCCCTTTCAGAGCATTTAGGAGTGTTAATCGGGCACCATCCAGTTCTTTTGGTCTCAGGGTCATGGAGGCTGGAGTTCTAGTGGTTAATTATTCCTGTGGACTCAGTGTTTACATATGTATTTTGTTTCCTGCACTTTAATTTGCTTTGGACAGGAAGAGACTAACAAGCTTTTAAGACTTTAGTCACTACTCACCAAATCAGGTGCTAGAATATTGTTTTTTCAGACTATATTATGCTGATTGACCTTGATAGTTTCTCAGAATATTGTCCTGGACCCCCAACCTCTGCTACTAATTTCCTCAAGGTGCTTAGTTATAGCTAAAAAGTGAAATTAGAAAGTTTTCTTTAAAAATAAAACACATTGTAGGTCTTGTTTAAGCATTATTTTTTCAAGCATAATTTTGTCAGTACACAATTCTTAGATATAAATTTTCTTAAGATTTGATTCATGCAACAAGTTTAAATTGTTTAAAAGTAATTTTACTGTTTAAAGACATCAACTTTATTTTGTATTTGTATCTTTGTGGTTCTGTACAATAAGCACTGGACTGCTAGCCATAAGATTGGCAGTTCAAACCCACCAGTTGCTCCTTGGAAACCCTATACAGGGTCTCTATAAGTTGGAACCGACTAGATGGCACTTAACAACACAACATCTTCGAAGTATGTAATTTTATCCAGGATACTGGGAGAATATTTTCTAAAGGTTCACCCCTGGAATAAATACCACTACTACCCACTGCTATTAAGTTTGTCTCAACTCAGAACAACCTCTTAGAACAGACTGTCAAGACTGTAAATCTTTACAGGAGTAAATAGATTCCTATTTCTCTCATGGAGCAGTTGGTGGGTTTGAACAGCTGACTTTGTGATTAGCAGTACAGTACTTAACCCATTAAATCATGAGGACGCTTGTTCAAATTAGCATGGTAGATACTATACTCTAGAGCTCCACAAGTATAATTTATAACTTGATAGCTTCCAATTTTTCTAGGGGCAAAACAACAAAACCTGGGCTTACTGGACAGAAAGAGATTGGAGGAATCTGAGACTGTGGCCCTTGACCACCCTTCAGGTGTGGAAAGGAACACACCCTCTTTCAGCCAAGAAGTACATAGGTATATAGGGGGAACAACTCCCAGCCAAGCAGTAGGTAGATCTATAGGGGGAACACAACATTAGGAAGATATGCTCACTATGAATAATGGAAAAGTCAATCATTCTAAGTCAAAGGAGCAATAAGTACCTAAGGAAAATGGCCAGAAGGGATGGGAAGGTGGATGGTAGGCAAAGAGGAGCCAAAGAGAGGAAGTAGACGAGTGCTCTTACAAGGAGGGGATTAAGTCATTTAGATGAAACAAAGTGTATTATTTGTTGAATGCAAAACTGCTGATCTTTATTTTTAAACTTTCACTCAATTCACAATAAAAAAGTAAAAGTAAAAAAAAAAAAATGAACTAATGACTGTTCCTCTTTTTGAAATAATAGGTGTTCCTGTTTTTGCTTTACATGGACTTCTAATTGTCTGAATGGAAGTATAAATGAATTTTCTTGGGTAGGTAATAAAGAAAGAAAACAGAGGAAACACCTTAAGCCCCTAAAACTATTAGAAATATTAATTGGGAAGTTCTTCAATAGATAAACCCACAAAAATGTATACAAGACACCAAGCATTTGTCCAATTTTCTTGAATTGTTTGTGTGTTCATATGTTGAGTAAATGAAAGACAATGACAACATGATAGACAAAGGCAGAGAGCAATAGAAAAAGACAAGTGAGATTCTGGGAATGTTTTTTACTTATATTTCAGAACCAGTATGTTTGATAAAATATGCTTTTGAGCCCTACTCAATCTCTGATTTCATAAATTTCTATAAATCTAGGTAAAGGGATAACAGAAGCGAGAACTCCTTCACTAACTCAACAGCTTTAATCAGATAGTTGTAAATCATCATGCTCATGTTCAATATCACAATCTTCATGCCCCCATTACTAACCCTGATTGGTATCCCGGGCTTGGAGTCAGTGCAGTTCTGGATTGGAATTCCTTTCTGTGCCATGTACATTATTGCCATCTTTGGAAATTTTCTGCTTCTTGTCATTATCAAATCTGAACGCAGCCTCCATGAGCCCATGTATATCTTCCTGGCAATGCTTGGAGCAACAGACATTGCTCTCAGTACATGCATCCTACCCAAAATGCTAGGCATATTCTGGTTCCATTTACCAGAGATATATTTTGAAGCCTGTCTCTTGCAGATGTGGCTCATCCACACATTCCAGTGTATTGAGTCGGGCATTCTGCTGGCTATGGCCCTGGACCGCTATGTGGCAATCTGTGATCCTCTGAGACATGCAACCATTTTTACTCACCAATGTGTCACCCAGATTGGGGTTGGAGTAACACTCAGAGCTGCCATCTTTGTAGCACCTTGTATCATACTCATTAAATGCCGGCTGAAATCCTATCGAACCACCGTAGTCTCCCACTCATACTGTGAGCACATGGCCATTGTGAAGTTGGCAGTAGAAGATGTTCGCATCAACAAGAGCTATGGATTGTTTGTGGCTTTCAGCATACTAGGATTTGACATCATCTTCATTACACTCTCCTACATCCGCATATTTATAACTGTCTTCAACCTGCCTCAAAAGGAAGCAAGACTCAAAGCCTTTAATACCTGCATTGCCCACATTTGTGTCTTTCTGGAGTTTTATCTCTTGGCTTTCTTCTCTTTCTTTACACACAGGTTTGGTTTCCACATTCCTCCCTACATTCATATTCTTCTGTCCAACCTTTATTTGCTTGTCCCACCATTGCTCAATCCTATAGTTTATGGAGTAAAGACCAAACAGATTAGAGACCGAGTGTTCAAGATTTTCTATTTTAAGGATCCTTCTTAATTCTTCAGTTAACTTATTTTGCTTTAAAGAACAAAAGTCAACTCTGAGAAACAATATTTGGTCAGAGTCTGTGATTTGTCAAATTCACTATGGGTTGAAATAAATATAACGTAGGTTTGCATACAACACAACTTTGTAAGGTCTTGAATACTAAAATAATAATCTAAGTTTTTATGGTTGCATAGTTATACTAGCCTTAAGGATTTTGTTACATTTTGTCAGCATATAAAATGTAGATTAAATGAATATTTATCTTTAGATCCTTCAGCTTTTAGTGACAGTAATTTCTTAAAATCACACCCAAATGTAAGAGTTTAACTTCTGATTATAAACATTAAAAGCATTACAATCTTTAACTGCAAAAAAAAAAAAAAAAAAAATGTAATGAGCCAACATTGGTACATCAAATAATTAAATAAAGTTCATAATTTATTCACATTGTCTTTGTTTTTACTTAATGTCCTTTTCCTAGTTCATGATTTGTGCCACGATATTACATTAAGTTTAGTTGGGTGTATTTCTGGAAACTTTCCTTGTATCTGATGAACTTGAGAGTCTTGAGAAGTACTGGTCTGATATTTTGTAAAATGTCTGTTGTGGTGCTTTGAATTTTTGGATATGGCTTTTCTAACCAAAGTCTTTTTAACTCCCACCAAGTGATTGGGTTATTGTTGTTAAGTGCCATCGAGTCGATTCTGACCCATAGCGACCCTGTATAGAGCTTCCAAGGAGCAGTTGGTGAGCTTGAGCCGCTGACCTTGCAGTTCAAATGGGTTTGCAGTCTGGCGCATTAACCCACAGCACCACACCAGGACCATGCAATTGAGGTGTAAAGGGCTCTATGGCTGGGATTGGTTAGTTTTGCCTTCCAGTTAGGTTTAAAAGAAGCCATTTCAGAAGCAGAGACAGAAGATTCCAGGACCATCAAGTAGAAAAAGCATGAGTGGCACATGAGATCCAGACCTAGAGAAATGGTGACTGCAGAAACAATGGGCAACAGCAGAGGCAGTGGCATGGAAAGAAAGAGCAGCTTTTGGCTTTAGGCCAATGGACTGTGCCAAGTTGCATGCCTACACAGAAGACTGGCTTGAAGAATGTGTCCTTTGGGCTTTCACTGTCGGGCTAAAAGAAATTTGTATAACTTGCCAGAATGATCAGAGGCCAGAGGCCACATGGTCATAAGGCTGAAAACAAGAGTGAGGTGTTCATGCAGTATGGCAGACCAGAGACATTCCTAAGTGGAGAACTGCTGCATCCTGAGTTGGTTTTGATTCTAAAGTGAATCCTGTTCACATTCCTAATAAACCCCATAACCATGAGTATTGTTATGAGTTCTATGTAGCCATTGCAATGGATCATCAAACCCAGATGTGAAGCAGAGAATGTTATGGGAGAAATGGTTTGTGTCAGAATAGGGTAAAGAAGGTTGTAGGGTGGAAGCATATCTGGTATCTGCTTCATTGGAATCGGCCTTGGGCTGATATTTTCATTTGATTATTTCCCCCACTTATGAAGCCAGGGGAAGTCAGACATGGTTCCTTCATGGTCTTAGCACTATTATATTATTTGTTCATGTTTTTCTCATGATTGGACTCAGTTTATAAGGAGGAAGATCTTAAAGATAAGATGCCATTTTGATGAAATCATTTCAAAGTATGATTTCGCAGTGATGATGATCTTGATAATCTTTCTGAGGTAGTTTTTGTCAGGTTTCTTTACTATAAAGTTTTTTTTGTTTTTTTTTTTTTGTTTTTTTTTTCAGTTTTCTTTTTTTCAACTGTATGTCCATCCTGTACTCTTAGGAAGATGGTCATTATAACCGATACTTAACAAGTAGAATTTTATGCTTCTCCATCTTGAGAAAGAAATAAATACATGCATTATTTAGATTTGTTGTTGTTGTTGTTAAGTGCCATCGAGTCGGTTCCGACCCATAGCGACCCTGTACAGGGTTTCCGAGGGTGTAAA